CGAATTTCATTGTAGAGTACAAAGACTCACAGTTATACGTTGTACCAAAAACATCAACTTTTCTTCTTTTGCTTTTCTTAAAAAGGAGTTTTTCGGATATTGTAAATGCATCCTCAATTATGTAACACAAAAAAGCGTTTATGAAGTATGCCAACGTACATTTAAATAATTTCAAATCGGTACATCTTTTTTCAAAATCTACTTTTAAATTATGTGCAATATTTTCTCTAGCCATGGATCTAGCTGAGCTCTAGCTGAAATCCCTTTCTTTTTTAAACACCTCGGATATCACTGACCATTAAAAAGGACCCTGAATGACCGCAAACCTCAAAGCTTTACACATTTTTGTATGTGATTTTTAAAATGAACCAGTGGTGGAATTTTTGTACTGAAAGTGTTAACCCTAAAAGTATAATCTACGTCCGCGGGGCGTATAGGGAATGGGTCTTTTTTTTAATTTTTATTTTGTGGTTTTAAATAAATGTGGTTATAGTTTTTATTAATAAAGCTATGTTTTATTATTAGTCAAACTCACAACTTCAATATTATTTAAAAAATAAGGCAGGACTAAGTATATTTTAGCTCACAGGTTATCTTTTAAGTACATAAGCCTCTCAGGCGTATGTTAAGGCTTTACGTTACTCCCAAATAGATTAGGCTTCTAGGGTTAAGAAAGCTTTAGTTTGAAAGTGTGATATTAAATGCTTTTCACCATAAAGGGCGCTAATTTTCAATGATTATTGCGTTTCAGATTAAGACTAATACCAGATATTGTGAAAGGTTGGACTATACCTTAAAGATGACGGTTTTCTCATGGCCCATTGCAGGAAGCTAAGAGTAGAGTAATGTCTTTTAAGAACTTAAAAATTATCCTGGGTTATTAGGTGTCTAGCAATACAAGATTAATTGTTGTCTTTCACGAAGTTCTTTAAATAAATTTTGAGCTAAGTACTCGCCCGTATTTCGAGGTTACTACTAGTTTTAATAAATTGTTAGTTTAATTTCCTATAAAATGTACCTTTAGGTTTATGCATTTTAAGAATACATCGAAAATTTGTTTTAGAGAATCAATGTGAAATAATTGCAGACACGATTAATCGGTTTGCTGAGCAACCGAGACGTCTGCTTTTTAAATAATTTTTGTAAAACAAATTGGCAAGTACAGATCGTCTCCCGCATGCCAGAAACATGAATGTGTAACGATGAAAATTTTGGGATTTTTTATATGTCGGGCCCCCCCCTAAATTCGATCCTGGCGACGCGCATGATAAGGCGTGATCCCCAGTACGTATGCTTTGCGTTGAAGTCGCCTACTGGCAGGAATCTATTACCCAGGCTATCAAAGAAATCTTGAAAGTCATTTTCAGAAATTAAAAATCGCGGTGGGCAATAAATAGCCGATAGATTCAAGTCTGGGTCGCGGTTTCGTAAGCATATGGTAGTTGCTTGCAGACAGGCTGTTGCTTTTGAGTCTAGAATATTGTGCTTTAGGCGATTTCTAATCAGCACCGCTGTGCCTCCATGGGCTTTACCATCTGGGTGATTTGTGGCATAGAATTTGTATCCAGGTATGGAGAAATTATATTTATTTGTTAAATGTGTCTCGGACAGTAGCATAACATGTATTTTATATTCAGTGAGAAATTGACTGAGTTCTAATCTACGCTGGTTTACACCGTTGGCATTCCATAAGCAAATTTTCAACTCACTCATTTTTTATTCACTAAAATTTGCAACAATTGGTTTTGAGCCTTTATGAAGTCTTGAATCATATTTTGCATAGTAGACACGAATTGAGTCATACAATGGGTAAGATTCAATATCATTCCTTCTATGCCACAAGTAGGGGGGCTCGGCTGCATTTGCTCAGTATTATTCCTTTGAATATTTGCAAATGTTTCTTGATTGGAGTTTAATTTCGCCGTGCTTGGCGGCGTTTGTAGTTTTAATACGTCGGCAAAAGAAACGTTGGGAACTCCCTGCGCGTTGGCAAAAAAGCTCCTGGTGTAGTGGTTGATGGCGTGAGGTGTTGGTATGTATAAGAGCTAGTTGGAGCAGCGTTGTCAGGTTGACGTTTGTAACGTCATTTGGACGTTTTTTGTGTAAAAGATGACGTTTTTTTTAACTTCCCAGTAATTTTTCTCTATGCACAATATATTCAATGTAAAGCGTACTATTTGCTTATAGAGTAATTACTTACGCTCACACTTTCGGCAAATTTGTTACTAAATCTTGTAAGTAGAACTGACTTTGAATTATTTTCTTAATAAATCTTTCCAAGCTTTGTTTTTTTGCAGCAGGTACCTCAAAAGATATTTTTTCTTTGGACACATATGACTTAAATATGATGCAAACCAAGCGTACGCGCATTTTTTTGTTTTTGACTCTTGGACTAAGGATCTCGCGTTCAAAGGCTGGTTGTGTAAATACTTGAGGTTACGAGGCTTATTGCAATGTTTGCAATTGCATATTAAAAGCCAAATCAGGAGGAGCTGATCTATTGCAACTCGCACGCTCGCAAGAGCCCAAAAAAGCAGTAGCAGTCAGAAAAAAGTAGACGACTTTTTTAAGACTTTACTGAAAATGTAATGAACACAAAAAAGGCTGAAATATTGCTATGCTCCTTCTTAGCAGAACGTAATTTAGCATTTTCGACAACTGACCACCTAAACAAATGTCTACAAAAAAAAATATTAAAAATCAACGCGATTCTTTAGCAACTTAAAACTTGCACATTATTACCCTGGAATTTAATGGGCTGTCAAATGCATACTCAAAAAAATCCTAAAAATCTCAATAAAAAATTGAAAATCTAGCTGAAACTTTGCAAATTTTTTATAATTTTTGCACAAAGTTTGAAATGTGGATTTATATATGTTTGTTTGTTATATAATGAGCTAGGCTTTTATGGAAAAATAATAAAAATTAAATAAACAAAAGAAAAACCACCAAAATCGATCAAAATGTTGATGACTTAATGAGCTGATCACAAGTGTATGTATAAAACAATTTTTATATTAACGATCTCAAACCAGTCTGCAATAGTGGTATTCACCAAATTGTTTTCAACAGTTCTTGTTGCTTGAGCTCATCTGCTCTTTTGCCAGAGTTCCAGGCCACTTGCTCACTTTGGTGAATACCACTAATGAATTTTAAATGTGCCCTGTCGAAATGACATTTTAATATACCTTACGTACATACATATCGTCGTTTAAAGTACAAAACCGCGTATCGTCATTCTGCAAAACTTGGATTTGCTCACACAAGCTCTTGGCTAAATCCTTATCCATTCGTACTGAAATATACTAGCCAGAAATGCGATTGCTTTATAAGAAAGATAACCATTTTGAAATATGAGAATTTTTACTCTCTAGAAAATAATTTACATAATTCACATACGCGGTTTTGCATTTCGTTGATACGCGGTTTTGTACTTTAAACGACGATATGTACCTTTGTTTACAATAAAAGTTTGATAAGAACAATTCTGTGTGCATACATGGAAAAGACGCTTTTGGGTAGGAAATGACGTTTTTTCAGACCAAGAGGGACGTTTTCTCATGCCGAAGACCTGGGCATGAATCACATAACTTTGAAACGATACTGTCAAAACGACCTCGTTAAAACACGATCAAACAATTTTTGGTTTTCATGAAGCAACACAATCTCGACACGATATCGTTCAGACGATTGTCGTCATACGTGATTCATGCCCTGGCAACACTGAGTTGGAGTGGTGTAAGAGCGTACGGCTGTGTTGCGCTGATTCATGCGAGACTTTAAGTCTTTGTATACAGGGCATCCCCTATAATTGGCGATGTGGTTACCTCCGAAATTACTGCATTTCTTACAGCCTCATCAGCTTTGATAGCCTTGCAAGAAGCGGAAGTGTGAAGGTCGCCACAGGCAACACACACTGGACGCAAGGTACAGTATGTTCTGGTATGCCCAAATTCTTGACAATTTGTGCACTGTACGGGACCGTTTTGCTTGTGCGGCTCCTCCCCTGTTATTCTTCGGTGTAAAAGGTATCGTATGTTGTAGATTGGGTGCACTGCGTTTTTATTCATTGGCTTTGTTTCTGGCTTAAGTTCTACCTTAAACATAGGCCGAGCGATTTTTGCTCTGTTGATAATATTGACAACATTTTTAACAGCAAATCCTGCCTTCTCTAGAGCATGAGCAATATCAGCAATGGATACACTTGATTCTATACCTTTTATTACTACTTGCAGTCCTTTGCTGCTTTTGAGCTGGTACGTATAGCAGTTTTTCTTATCGTCATTAAGGTGTTTGGATACCAACCGGTAATTTTCTTCAGTTAGAATCTGAAGTTTGGTCTCTAATGTTGCCCTTGGTAACTGACGTTACTTGGAACGTATTGTCTCCAATAAGCTGAGTTCAATTTATTCTCGAGCTCAGTACAGTTTTTCTCTCGTAAATAAATTGGGGGCAATTTGGGTTTGGCTTTGGAAACTTAACTTAACTTCACTTAACTTTGGAATGCAAAAGCTGGCTCATTAATGCTAACTTTGCTTTTTCCCTATATGTAAAATTTTAAGTACTTTCATTATTGCATCATGAAAGGGTTATTATTGGTTATATTTTGTGTGGCATACACTCTAAAAAGCGCGTGTAAAGCTTCTACTGAATAGTGTTCATTTTTCAACCAGGATCTAGTAAATATACGCATAAGATGGTCAAGGTGTGATTTCTGAATATACACATGAAATGTTTAAAATTGCAACAATTTTCAACGTAAAATTACATTTCCTACTAATTATAAACATTAAGTGATCATATTTAATAGATTTTAAACATCTTATGTACAATTTAAGTCTGGTAAGTAAAAGTGAACAGCCAGTGTTTAATTTTATTAGCACGGTGTGTAAATTTGTACACATTACAACAAACAAATTTGAAATTTGTTCCATTTAATAAACACGGTGTGTAAATTTGCACACACTAGGAGAGGAAACTGGTTACCTCTCAATATCCGTAAATAAAAAAAAATAGAGTGCAGCGAATGCTAGGTTACGTAATTTTATCATGACTTTTAAGCTTGGTAAACCAAAGTCCGGTCGGCCAAAATCCTCCGGCTGAACCCTCCACGAGGGTGACAACTGGTAATGGGCACTACAGTTTAGGTTCTATACGATGTCAGAATGGTATCCAGTTAAGATTAGAAATCAGTACTATGTGCTCAAGCTCCTCATTAGCTTAGTTATATGGAAATGGGTTTTCATCGTGGCCTATGGATGTAACGGAGGTGCAAACCTCTTAAAAAAGCTTTGGGTTCGAACAAGGTGTTAGAAGACCCGTGCTGATGTTCAGCCTGGCTGGGCACCCAGATTAACAAATAGCCCAGTCTCGAACGGAGTGCTCCGGATACCTAGTGACCTCCGGTTTTATCAAGCCTTACCTGTGCACACGGACCTCTGTACGGATCTCCATTTTCCGACACTCGTAGGACCAGAAATTATGAGTTCAATTATTGCAAACAACTAAAAAATAACTAAGGAGGACGGCCCTCCAAAAAACCCGACGGGGATGGCTCCGATTAATGCTACAGCCTCGGGCAGGGCATTGATCAAACCCCCAGTGACAGGAGTTAGAGGGGGCTTAAGCGGTAGGAATGGTCCTAGTACGAGCACCATAGGAGGCAGGGCGGGTGTCGAGTGGAGGCCTGGGCAAACCGGTCTCCAACAGATTCACGGCTGGAGCTGCGGCGTCAGCTTCGCCTAGGGAAATTAGGCCTCAAAGTACGATGCCGTGCAATAAAGCCATAGGAAATAACGCCATATGGCTTTATTTCACTTCACATGGAGAAATAAGGCCACACGGCTTTATTTCCATATAGTTAAACGAGAAACGTCTGTCGTTTAACACCTTGCAACGTATATGTTTATTACCTGAATTAATGCGAATTTTCTTCAACAATTGAAATACTCAAACTTTGTAAACATATTTTCCTTCATTGAATTGTTAATTCTAAAAGTTAAATCATTTCAAAATTGTTAACGCTAAACTTGAGTTATTCAAAAATGTTAAACTTTTTATATTCTTATGCCTTGAATTGTTAAATTTGAATTTACATGTTTTGCGCTATTCAAATTAATACCCTCTATATTTTCTCATACTGAATTGATAAGAATTGTTAACCCTAAACCTAAAGAAATTTTCATATTGAAATGCATAGTTGGCAACGCCAAAGTCGTTAATACAGTGCAAGCAGCAAATGTCAAAAAGAGAAACAAAAAATTAGATACAGAATTTTCCAATCACTTTTACGTGCGGTCGCAAAATCTTTCTAAAATTTGAATAACCTTTTATAGCTTGTTTTAATAAAGAAAAATTGTAAATTTAAAGCATAAACATTCGGTTTATTATTTCGAGTGGTCATATTAGTCTCTCGCCGAGTATCTACAGGCGCGCGGAGGAAAATCCACCTCTTAGTATTTTTCGTTTTGAAAGTCGCTGGTTTATGCGCCAGGAAGCAGCCGCGAACTAGCGCCTGCGCCACGTCCTCCTACACGGAAGTGCAGCAGCCCCACCACCGCAAGTACCACCCCAGTTTCGATTATCGCCCATCGTCACCATCCATCATCAAAGAGCCGCCGAAATCACCGCCAAACCCTCCACTATCGCCAAATCCACCATCATCGCCGGAGTCAACGGCCAACAGCAACGAACCGCCGCATCCTCACCAGCCTGCAATCGCCCACCAGCCCTCCGTCTGTCCACGTCCGGAGTTCAGCACCCAAAAGAAGAGCCGGCCCCTTACTATTGGTCCTTCGGCGCCAACAAAGAGCCGCACCGGTGGAATAAAAATCCATAACCTCAAAGTACAAGTATCCCCAGCAAAACCGTGAGTAAAAATCAATTTTTTACTAACCCTGCGGTGAAACAAAGATTTTAAAAAGGCAGAAAATAATTCCTTGTATGTTTAGTAAACGCCAGCATTAAGTAATACATTTTCCCTTGCTCCGGCCATAAATTTTCAATTTTCCCGCCATATTTTCATTTTTCCCACCAATTTTATTTTTTTTTTGCGCCAATTTTCACGAATTTTTTACCCACACAAAGACTTTTGAAGAATACATATACATATGTACTTCACATAACATTCTGTAGCATACAAGCAAAAAGTACTTGGCGTACATATATATATACACATATACCAAAGCTCATAGTATATACCGCGGCTAATCAGTTAATCCCAAACAAACATAGAAGGAATTATAGCTGGGAATACATAACTAACCCCTCGTTTAGTAATCCCTATATATATATATACACATACATCATACACATACCCTATCACATATTGGGCATATAGAGAAAGTGCTATATAAAATAAATAAAAATACGTACAGTGAACTCTCTATAATAACTACCCATAAAAAAGGCAAGGCGGTTACAGTGCCCGGAAAAAGAAAATACAATCCATTAGATAGATATTTATAAATTTTGCACTCAAAATATCTCCATTTGTGGTTTTCGTGAACAGGACCAAGCGTGAAAGTCCCAGATACGGTGATCCGAAATCCCTCATAAAGGCTTAAAAAGGTAAAATTATCTGGCTTATTAGATTCAAATCCCCCACTCTCTTTGAGTCCAGGTGCTCACTTGTGATTCATACAAACTTTATTGTTTGCGACCGCCTAGTAAAACCCGATTGTATTTGCTCACCCTCTCAACCAACCTTAATCACTTTCGCTCAATTCGACTTCGAATGCTAGGTCTCACTAGCACTGAAGATAAGCCAAAAAGTCCCAGAATGAGCGAAGAAGAAAAAATTCTCGAGACCCCCGCGGAGTCTCAGCGCCTACCGATCAAGCGGAAAGCCAAAAAAGGCAAAACAATCGGTCATCTGTACTAAATTCATATCGGAGACAGATAATTTGATGGATTGCTGCGCCCGATTCAGATCAGCCCCCATCGAAGAAAATATTGAGTCCGTATTGAAAATAAAAGACAAGAGCCAAGAAAACTTTTGGAATAGAGTTCAAAACGCCTTTGATTCGACTTTGGAAATTGAAGAACATGACCTCCCCGAAGACTTTAGGGCGTCTGCCTACAGTAAATATAGGTCATGTTTAATTATATATGAAGAAACAAAAGCCCAAATCGGAGACCAACTCCAGTTAGTAGCACAAACCATAAGTCCCACTCCCAAAGCCAGTTCATCACTTCCTAAGGAAACTTCGGGCATAAGCTTAAACGTCCCACCTTGCGACACCGAAACCTTATATGGGGGTTATGAGCAATGGCCGTCCTTCCGTGATATGTTCACGGCGGTCTATATAAATCACCCTAAGCTCACTAAGGCGCAGAAGTTATACCATCTCAGGTACAAAACGCAAGGAAAAGCTGCCCAAATAGTTAAACAATTCCCTCTGAGTGACGATAATTTCGAGCTGGCATGGGAAGCACTAAAAGCTCGCTATGAAAACAAACGGGTTTTAGTAGATAACCAAATCCGCATCCTTATGAATCTAAAACCCATCCCAATAGAAAATAGCGAAGACATACAGAGACTGCAATCATCGGTGAATAACTGTCTCCAGATTCTAGGCAGCCAGCAAGTCTCCACCGAAAGCTGGGATCCCATTCTGATCTACCTGGTTACCTCCAAGCTTCCTGAGAACACCGTGGCCCTTTGGGAGCAGTCCCTCAGTTCCAGGAAAGACCTCCCGAACTGGTCCCAAATGAACCAGTTCCTCACTACTCGATACGAGGTGGTTGAAAGGGTAGATCAATTTCGTGCACCCAAGCCTCCGCGGACTAATCCTTCGAACATAAGCTACTCGAGGCCAACCCCCCCCCTAACAGTAGGCCATTCCCTAAACCCCCCACCTCTCAGAACTCTCACAACAACTCCTTTTCCCAAATCCGAGCGCACATGACGGAACAACGCACAAAACTATACAAATGCCCAATGTGCAATAAACCTCAGCACACTCTCTCTCAGTGCTCCAAATTTCGTCAACTGCCAACTCAGGATCGCAGAAAGTTTGTGAGAGAACACAACCTCTGTTTTAATTGCCTATGTCAGACCCACTTGATAAAAGACTGCTCAAGTAAATATACTTGCTCCCATTGTCAAGAACGGCATCACTCAATGCTTCATGAAGACACGCCCCCCATGCCGCCAAGACAGCAGTCTCGAACCCAAAGAACGACATCTCAGGTCGCTCTGACGACGCCCACTAATTCCAACCCACAAAATTCAGCTGGGTCGGAAACAACTCATGAGGAGCCTTCTTCCTCAAATAGAGCAAGAGTACAGTCGTTCTACTCGGAAAATGAGAGCAAGATTCTCCTTCCCACATCAATGGTGCCAGTTGAACACAGGGGCGAGATCTTCAAACTCAGAGCTCTCATAGATCAGGGTTCGGAACGAACTTTTATTTCCTCAAAAGCTCAAAACAAACTAAGGCTACCGTACCAAACTTCTAACTTTGAAATTTCTGGCATGGGAGGCAGAGTTGTTCAGACTTCGAACAAACTTTGCCATCTCATCTTAGCCTCCGCAGATTTGACCACGAAAATA